GAGGGTTAGGTTTAGGGTTAGGTTGAGGGTTAGGTTGAGGGTTAGGTTTAGGGTTAGGTTGAGGGTTAGGGTTAGGTTTTGGGTTAGGTTACATCGCGCTTCTGTCGGCGCGCTGTTGTCGGCGCGCTTCAGGGTTCATTCGTCGCTCCTTCGTCGCGCGGTTTTGTCGGCGCGGTTTTGTCACCGCGGTTTAGTGAGGCACGCTTTTGTCATTCGCGCATTTGTGGTGGAACCGTGGGATTCTGTCCCAGGTTCAGTTCCAGAGATCTTTTGACATCACCTCCTGCCCCATCTGGTTTTGTGCTCCTCGATTAGATGTGGTGTGCGTCCGTGTGTATGTGTGTGTGTTTGGGGAGGGGGCTAGAAACATGCTTTGGAGCCCAGCCCCAAGCGGATAACATGCGTGCCTAGAGCCTTCGCTTGACCTTTAATTGGTGTTGGAAAAGACCAGATGGAAACCAACGATTGATTGACTTTAATTGGAAATCCGCAGCGGGAGATTGGCCAGCTAACCGAAAGGTTGCGGCGGCGGCTGCTTCGCTGATTCTTTTTTTTTTTTTTTCCCTCCTCTTTTTCTTTCTGTCCGGAGAGAGTGAGGGGCTTAAACCGCCAACCCCACCTTGCCCCAAGGGGGGTCTTTTGTGCGTGGTTATTTAGTATGTTCAGCGCCCTTCTCCCCACACACACACACGCTTGCAGGGATCTCAGCCTTCCAGACGTCTCCCTGGGTTGCATTGCTAAGCAACTTTTGGAAACATTTACAACCGCCCCCCTCCTCTACCCACCCACCCACCCTTCTTGCCACCTGGAAAAAGAAAGCGACGGGGTGGATTTAACGGAGAAGGAAGCCACGTTCTACGTCGGGGGAGCAGCCCGTGATTCAATTAATGTATAAATGTGTGAAGTAGTTGCAAAGTCAAGCTGGGTTTTGTTTTTTTCTTCTTCTTCAAAGAATGATGCAAAGGCATATGACGAAAAGAACACCGCTTGGCTCTTTTTCCCCACCGGCGGTCTGTCGCCGATGGGCGCGCATCCTCCAGTCCCAACTGGCCGGCTCGTGAGGACGCAGCTGCCTTCCTTTTCAGCGGGCTAAGGACCAAACTGCAAGGAGGGTCTCAGGACGGATTGGGACACAAGCCTCCAGGACCTGTTCCCCACCCCCCACCCCTCCATCATTCCAGGATTGCCTCTTCTTAAAAGAGGCCTTGGACTACACGTCCCCTGGTCCCCAGCCAGAAATCCCGCCTCATAAGCCATCCATGTTAGCCAGGTTGTCTTGACGGTATGGTCCCTTTAGAGGCCAGGAGGTTGTCTGTCTGCTGATATAAAAAAAACATTTCTAGGTGGGAGGCAGAGGTGATCTACTACCGGTTCGGTGGAAATGGCGACTGGGTCTCCAAAACGGTAAGGACAGCATGCTCGCCACGCCCCCAGACCTATTCCCCGCAACATCTTTTTTTTTTTTTTTTACCTTCGCGCGGAGCAAAACCGCGTGCACACACCGAACCAGTGGTAATGCCTGGCGGGAGGGATGTGGCTTATTCCTTGACCTGGGTTTCCACAGACAGCCATTCGGCCTGATTCTTGAATTAACCCACATCCTGGGATTCCCCCCAGCATATTGATTCTTAAACTAGCATGCAAAGGAGGATGCTTGACCAAGATGAGTAACGTTTGAAAGTCTCCTATACTTTGGATTTTTTTTTTAAATTCACGGCACACCCATGGGGGGAAACGAAGGGACTAACCAAAGGTGAGCTACTTTAGACCAGGATTGCTTCACCATTTTTGCCCCCTTTCTTTCTCTCCTGGGGGCAGGGTCTCATTGCAAGATGTAGGACTGAAACAAGGTCATTTACGGTGCATTCGACACAATAGTATTTTACAGCATAATATAACTTAATTATGAAACCAAGGGAGCCAAAATGCAATGCTGTTCGCCATCCCGGTTCTAGGACCTTCAGAGGAGGGGAAGAGGGTGCATGCACATGCACATATGTGTAAATATACATGTACAGGACCCACAGCTTACTCTTCACAGCAGGCTCGTGAGTGATTTCTTTGGAAGGCTGGCGGAAGAGCGATGGGGGTTAGGGGGGGAGTGCGGAAGGATCCCACTTGCTGAATCTTCTCCCTCTCCCCCCGCCCCCAGCGTCTGCTTTTCAATGGCTTGGGCAGCTGCTCCCCCTCCTCTCCCCGTGGCATTTCCTCCCCGCCTCCCCCTCCCACTATTTTGGGAGACAACTTGTTGTGAGCGTCAAGGAGAGAGTGCGGGTGGCAGATTTTTTTTTTTGAGTCTTTTGGATCCATCTGGGATTTGCTGGCAGCTCGGATAAATTTAGACTCGTAGTAGCACTTTGTTCCACACGAGAGCCACCCTTCCGTCAGCCGTTCAGTGCCTGGATCCCGGCTGTCACTCTCTCCTGCCCACCCACCCATGCGCCAATTTCGCCCCGCCGGTCTTGAAATTGCCACGTGCCATTGCCGGAGAACCTTTGCCTTGCCGCCCCTCTTCTGACTAGTAAAGCGACTCGCCCACGGGAGGCGAAGAGAGAATCGTCTCCCACGCTTAGATTTTTCTAGCTAGCCGTTCCCAACTCTAGGGGGTGGTGCTCATCTCCGTTTCAAAGCCGAAGAGCCAGCGCTGTCCGGAGACGTCTCTGTGGTCTTGTGGCCGGCATGACTCAACTCCCGAAGGTGCACGGAACGCTGTTCCCTTCCCACCAAATGTGGTCCCTATTTTTCTACTTGCATTTTTTACGTGCTTTCGAACGGCCAGGTTGGCAGAAGCTGGGACAAGTCACGGGAGCTCCCTCCGTTATGCGGGTGCTAGGGATTCGAACCGCCAAACTGCTGATCTTTTCTGATCATCAAGCTCAGCGTCTTAGCCACTGAGCCACTTCCCTGGGCTTTTGCAATTTGCAACCCAGTCTTAAGTCATCTGAAGTTCTCAAGAGTCATAACCTCTGAGGACAAGCTCTGGCCCACTGGGAGAGCCACCCCAAATTGCAGGATCAAACCAGGGGAGTCCTTTTCCCTGGCCCTATCTTCCCCTAAAGCAGCCCCGTCCCTCAATTCTGCCCCTTCCCTTTTGGGGCCCAGAAAGCAGCTTCTCCCCCAAATGTGTTCCTCTTCGCTGCCCTGTCCCATCGACCGCATCATCGTGGGTGTTTCTTTGGGTGGCCTTTCCCCACATGCCCCCCCTTCCTCACCTGCTTTTCCCAGTTGAAGATTTTAACCCACCCGAACCTCCCCCTGTCCAGGCCTTTCCATAGCCTCCCACTTGCCCATGTTTGGCTTACCATATTTTTTGGAGTATAAGACGCACCCCCCCCCCCAAAAAAAGAGGGTGAAAATCTGGGTGTGTCTTATACACTGAATACAGCATTTTTGGCCTCCCAAAAGCATCCCATTTTTCACAAAAATGGACATGCATAGGCTTTGGGAGGCTTGTAGAGTGCTCCTGGGGTGGGGGTGGGGGCAAAAACGAGCAAAAAACTGGCTGTTTTTTCCTCATTTTTGCCCCCTCCCTCCAGCCTCCAGGAACACTCTACAAGCCTCCCAAAGCCTATGCATGCCCTGCTTTTGGCAAAAAACAGGCCATTTTTTCCTCGTTTTTGCCGCCCCAGCCCCCAGGAGCACTTTGCAGGCCTCTCAAACTCTCTGCACGCCCCGTTTTTCACCAACAATGAGGCGTGCAGAGGGTTTGGGAGGCCTGCAGAGTGCAAAACCCTTTTTAAAAAAAATTCAAAATCTTAGCATGTCTTATACTCCGGTGCGTCTTAAAGTCCGAAAAAATACAGTAATTATATTTTCTTCTTCTTCTAGAGTTACCAGCCGAGTTTGAAACCCGATGCTCGCTTTCTTTCTTTTGTCCTGTTTCATTCATTCATTCATTCCTCCCTCTTCTCCCCTCTCCCCACTCCCCTTTTATCTGTTTGAAGGGACAATGGAGAAACGATATGTTCAATGGACAAGGCTGCATGATCCATTGTTCGGGCGTCATCTACGACGGCCTCTGGCATAACGGCTCTCCTCTCGGTACGTGCTTGGGATTTAGTTGCAGTTCGGTTCATAATGAGACACACACACACACACACACACACGCAGAATAATGCCCTGCCTTTCCCTTGATTTGCTTTGACTAGTGCCGGCCTCAATTCTGCTCTCCGAACTTGTCAGGCCAAAGAGTTGAAAAGCAGCAGCGAATCCGCGGTGGGGGTGGGGAGAATTATCTAGGGTGGGGAGAGGAAGTTGTTTGCAGTATACTGGGGTGGGGGGTGGGGAGTCCCCCTTTCACAGACGTTCCCACTTCGTGCCTTGGGAAAAGGAAAGGAAACTTTAGGAAAATTGCCAGGAGTTTGTGGTGATCTCGGCTGGGGAGCCCTTTGGTGGGCAGTAATGTAGGGTAGGTGGGTAGGTGGATACATAGAGAGGGATGGATGGACGGACGGACAGAGGGATAGATATATATATATGCATAGATAGGAAAAGGTGGATGGGTGGATATGGATAAATAGAGTGGGTAAGCAGAAAAGATGGATGGACGGACAGATGGACAGATGCATAGAGTAGATAGGGATGGATGGACCAGAGGTATATATACATAGAGTAGATAGGGATGGCTGGACGGACGGATGGATAGACTGACAGATGGGCAGATATAATATATATATATATATATAGAGAGAGAGAGAGAGAGGGAGGGGGGGGGGGGGGGGGGGGGGGGGGGGGGGAGGGAGGGAGAGAGAGAGGGAGAGAGAGAGAGAGAGAGATATGCACAGATAGGAAAAGGTGGATGGGTGAATATGGATAAATAGAGTGGGTAAGCAGAAAAGATGGATGGATGGATGGATGGATGGATGGATGGATGGATGGATGGATGGATGGATAGAGATATAGATACATACATACATAGTAGATAGGGATGGATGGATGACGGATGGAGGGACGGCCAGCCTGATAGCTGGATAGATGGACATAGAGTAGATATGGATGAACGGATGGACGGAGGGACAGAGGTATATATCCATAGATAGCGATGGACGGACAGATGGACAGAGATATATTTTTGCATAGATAGGGAAAGATGGATTTGTAGATATGGATAAGTAGAGTGAGTAAGCAGAGAAGTTGGATGGATGGATGGATGGACGGACAGATGGACAAAGATATATATGCATAGATAGGGAAAGATGGATGGGTGGATATGGATAAATAGAGTGGGTAAGCAGAGAAGATAGACGGACGGATGGATGGAAGGAAGGAAGGAAGACTGACAGATTTGCCGAACGGGCTGCCATCACGCTGTGCCAAAGTTCAACCACCACCACTCTTATTTTATTTCATGCATGTTTCTTTATAACTGAAAGGTTCCTAAGAACGGCTTGATAAACAATTAATGCAAATAAATTAGGTTGGATGCTCCCTGTGGATTTTGGGGCCTCACACAGAGGGACGAGGTAATAAAGGAAATGGGATGTAAGAAAAGACCAGAAAATGCAGGCGCTAGTTTTTAATGCTGTGTTTCTCAGCCTTGGCTACTTTAAGATGCTGGCTGGGGAATTCTGGGAGTTGGAAGTCCAGAGATTTTTAAAGGGGCCAAGGTTGAGAAACGTCATCATAATGTAGCAACCAACCAAAGGATCCAGTGTGGCTTTTGAGGGGAGGCCCAGTTGATAAATTAACCGTCACACGTGCATCCAGTGATGGTAATCCTTACAATACCGCTGACTTCAGCCCATCTAAAACCAGCAGCAAACTGCAATGGGGGGGGGGGGGATCTCCTTATTATCTCCGAGGATGCAGTACTGATGACTTATCAGCTGCTTCTGAGCTGTAAGACCAACCTAGCTAGTGTTGGCAGTCGCGGGTCACAACACCTGCAGGGACAATGCTTCATCTTCCTGCCCTGGAAGGAGGACGGAATAGGAAAGAAAGACCTTGTGAATTAAAGCCTTCTACTACCAGAAGGAATGGGCAGTCAAGGATATTGGCGGGAAGTCAGCTTCAGAAGTATACGAACTTGAGACCTAAAGGTTCCCTTGTTGGGTTATCATAAAGGCATAGGACGAGATCTTCACATAGTGTCCTGACTGAGGTTCCCAAGAGCATGAAGCAAACTCCTTGTTGTCCCGACAAAAAACCCTTTTATTAATTTGCTGTGAATTCTGCTCCTTGACATCCAGCAAAGCCTTTCAAGGGAGGATTTACAGTCACAGACCTTATCTGGCTCGGAGAGCTGCCAGGCCGATCTCTGCAGAACTTGGCCAGGAGTCTCGGAGAGTCACAAACCAATTAAGTGAAATAATGTCTCCTGCAAACTCCACTCCCCTGTTGCTCCTCTTTTATTCCCTCTGGGAGGGACCCTTCACCATCCACCTGTGGCCTTCCTCCCAAGTCAACCCCTGTTCTTTAGCTCTTCCCTT